GATGTGAAATTTGACAAATCTGTAATTTAAATTCTTTTTCTTTTGCAGGGATGGGTAGCTACCACTTCATTTTGCTCATAACTATAGCCTGTATTTGCAATGCCTCGTCAGCATCCATCTTCGCTAAGGACGTAGGCAAAATGAGTGTATTACCTCCAGCTCATTACGATTACGAAGCATGCATGGACAACATATTTGATAATGCTCAGGTCAGCAACAGTTGTACGACTGCAAGCTCATAAGTTTTTATTCAATTTCATCCAGTTGACTTTCAACGCCAAGCTTGGTCTTGATCCAGCATTGACGTGGAAGAATGCCACTGAGCTAGCGGAACAAGTCCACATGCTCATCGATAAAGGCGTTGATAGCTTTGTTCAAGTATGCAAGTGGGTTAAATAACTCTTTCGCAAGTCTGATCAATCAGAATAAGAACCCAACACAGTACCTTTAATATGTTTTCATAGTGCACGTCAAGTCTATGCCTATCAGCTTGGGGCTACGTATCCCTTCTGCGTGAATCGTTTCTATCTTCTTAACCGTGACGCCACGCCTTTTGCTGATGCTGTTACATATATTCATACTTACAAACATCTAGAATTCATATGCAGCACAGGATTTGATGGTTTGTAAGTTTTGCCCTTCACTCTGTATAAGAATGCATCTCTGTCCTATTTAGTATATCAGTCCAATCTTGCCTGCATTGTTAATGCGGAACACACTGGAGGAACTGTATATCAGGCATGCTTCTACAAGTTCCAGCAAATAGTACAGAATAATCCATATCGATTCTGCGAGTAAGTTCATAATCTAAGAAAAATGTACTCAAAAAGAAAATGCAGACAAAAAGTTCAACAGTTGCAAAATAAATCGCCGTGTTTTCTTTGTTTAGCAAAATTGAACCTACGTGCATTTATCTTGTACGTAAACTTGGTCATTTATCAGGAGCGGTAGTAATCTAGCCGAAACGGGGACGCTTGGATGAGAGTTGACTGGGAGTTTGTTCGCTGTTATTGTCCGCCTAACTCGGAGTTTAAGATGGACGAACACGCCGTGAAATAGCTTTAGATGGGGAAAAGTGAAGTTGGTG